GTAATACTATGATAGGTAACAATTGACACATGTATTTTAGGTGTACTGTAATACTATGATAGGTAACAACTGACACATGTATTTTAGGTGTACTGTAATACTATGATAGGTAACAACTGACACATGTATTTTAGGTGTACTGTAATACTATGATAGGTAACAACTGACACATGTATTTTAGGTGTACTGTAATACTATGATAGGTAACAATGACACATGTATTTTAGGTGTACTGTAATACTATGATAGGTAACAACTGACACATGTATTTTAGGTGTATTGTAGTACTATGATAGGTAACATAATTTTGTTCCTAATTTTGAATTGATAGATTAGAGAGAATACAACAAGTGGACAACATCCACAGCCAGATCTTTGGCTGCTTTTATCTGATCGAATAGTGGGATTTGACCGTTACTTTTATAAAGCACCCACGGCCCAAAAATTCAGAATGTTTTTTCGCTGCAATGTACAGGTTATTGTCACAAACCAATGATATTTAAGTGATATTTTCAGGTTATTGTCACAAACCAATGATATTTAAGCGATATTTTCAAAATATCATTGGTTTGTGGCAATAACCGTGACAATAACCTGAAAATATCGCTTGCTTAAATATCATTGGTTTGATATTTTCACTGATATATAAATATTTAATTGTATTTTACCTCGTAAAATCCCAGTGTCATGTGGAACAGGGACATCCACGTACGGGGGTAGGTTTCAAACCTCGTGCTTTTCCCTAAGTGTCCCTTAAACAGGAAGTAAAAAGCTAGAAAAAAGAAATAATATAATTCATGACTTTGGAAGCGTCCATATTTAACATAATTACCATAAAGAGGGTGGTCATTCAACTATCACGTGACCTGATGCTAATATTTATGAATATGAAAGAGAAGAATACGTATTATTTTTGGACGTGGTGGTTACTGACAATGAAAACTGGCTTTACAGCATTTGAAACGAGGTGGTTACTGACATTGAAAACTGGCTTTACAGCATTTGAAACGTGGTGGTTACTGACATTGAAAACTAACTTTACTGCATTTGAAACGAGGTGGTTACTGACATTGAAAACTGGCTTTACAGCATTTGAAACGTGGTGGTTACTGACATTGAAAACTGGCTTTACAGCATTTGAAATGAGGTGGTTACTGACATTGAAAACTAACTTTACTGCATTAGAAATGTGGTGGTTACCTGGCTTTACAGCATTTGAAACGTGGTGGTTACTGACATTGAAAACTGGCTTTACAGCATTTGAAACGAGGTGGTAACTGATATTGAAAACTGGCTTTACAGCATTTGAAACGTGGTGGTTACTTACATTGAAAACTGGCTTTACAGCATTTGAAACAAGGTGGTTACTGACATTGAAAACTGGCTTTACAGCATTAGAAACGAGGTGGTAACTGATATTGAAAACTGGCTTTACAGCATTTGAAACGTGGTGGTTACTTACATTGAAAACTGGCTTTACAGCATTTGAAACGAGGTGGTAACTGATATTGAAAACTGGCTTTACAGCATTTGAAACGTGGTGGTTACTGACATTGAAAACTGGCTTTACAGCATTTGAAACGAGGTGGTTACTGACATTGAAAACTGGCTTTAC